TGTTGTTAATCTTCTTTCATGTGTAGTCTTTCAGTGTTCTTGCACCCAAAATGAAGTGCAAAACTTTGCTTTAAGGGGCTTTGTGACAGTCACTTGATTTTACAGAATGTGATTCCAGGTGGTGAAATCTTAATTCAGCAAAACAGATTGTTGCCATAGATTCAGGCAGAGAGTTTGGATTTTTTCATATATGTTATTTATATTGAGATTTCTCTCAGCCTGTTTGTATTAGAGAAACAGATTAATCATCGCACAAAACCCATAAATACAATCTGTGTACAAAATTCTGAAATATTGAATGTTAAAGTAGGTGGTATATATATATTTGCTACTGAGCTTTAAAGAGTTAATTATGGGCAAAAAAAATATTTTATACAAAAATTGTATGTACATTTGTGCTGTCTCCACACCAAATTTCATGCGCTTTCAGTGGTTTGACTTCTGTATTGCGGTTGTCAAATTGGAACATGGACACAGATGCACAGTTAGGATCAGCCTTATGTGTGTTCATTTTGTGCACTTCATGCAAGGAAACTGTAATAAGTATTGGTTCTGGTTCCACCAAGGTACTTGTCAGCTGTACCAATGTTAATCGAGAGAAACACTTTGGTATGTCAACTTATTATCATCTGAAAATTAACATTGAACTGGTACAAAGATGGTTGTGGTCTGTTAGAACTGGGACAGAGCTGGAGAGACTTTGTAGATCAAAAGGTCAAAGATGGAAGTGTGTTATCCAGTTCCAATAAATAAAATCCAAAGTTAACTGTGTGGCGTTGCGTATTTTTGGCACGTTCTGTCGATTTCAGTCAGAAGAACATCACTTTATTTAAAATGGCATGCGTGCCTGCCTGCTAAGTGGCGTGACATTTGGTTTAAACAGTGTTTTAAGGACAAAGGATTTTTTTTGTGGTTTTTCTCATTTCCTCCCAGCAGGTGCATGGCGGTCTCGAGTTATATCATAGCCACTGCCTTTACCTGTAGCTATTATTCATCACATTCGATATAACATCTCAGAGCCTCAGAAATTATATAGAATTTTTAAATAACGTGTAATATGAGTGCATGTACATTCACTCATTTAAACTTACGAAAATCCATCGACAGAATCTCTGTGTTAAAAAACAGTCCCAGAAGAGAAACATTAATATCTCGACACTGATACGAGCAGTTCTATTATCCTACTGTCTATGTCTAGGTCTCGCAAGTTATCTTCTCCGTTCAGGCTTTTTAGACAAAAATTTTGAATCCGTTTCTCGTCTCTTCCTTGTATTGCATTTCCAACGGAGCTCATTGTCCTTGATGTGGTCACCTAAGTAATATTTTGTTGAAGAGTTCAAACTATGGACCACCTCAGTTTGTATTTTTCCTCTCGTCTCATGTTATTTATTTACTTTTAGGTCCAAATATTGCCCTCGGCACCCTCTCGTGGTAGTATAAGAGACCATACTTCATATCCAAATGAAATTATACTTTTATATTTTAATCTTTCTGCGTTCCGGTGGAATTTGGAAGACTTAGGTTTCTCATCGAAGTGGTTTTAAGCAGTGGAAGCTTTTATTGCTTTGGAGAAATTACAGCCCGGTTGGACATAATGTTTAACGAGGAAAATTAAGCTTTGTGACATTAGGACAGTAGTCGGAAGCTAAGCAAGGTTATACATGGCTGATATTGTTATCAGCAATAAGCATAAAGAAATGGGCTTTTGGACTACACTCTATTGTTTTATCTTGTCAGTGTGTTATTTCAAACCTGCTCAAGGTCAGGATGTTATGCTTGTAGACCTGTTTCAGCATGTTCTGACCATTGGACTAGTTCACAAAGTATTGCCTACGTATGAATTTTAACAGGTTAGGAATTGGCTTAAGTAAATATGTAGTAATGATGCTTCATGGCGTTCTTCGCAAGTGCTTGAGCTGTCTGGCATTCTGATTACACAGATTAAAATGTATGTCATCCTGTTTACTTGATGTCGGTCAGAGAAAGAAGCGAGAGAATAATTTTGTGTATTTATGCAAATTTTTAGTATGTTCAGTTGCTCACTATTTAACGTTAGTATTAAAATGTTAAATTCATCATTGAAGATGATCGTGACTGATGACAATGATGACAGTCTTATTATTTTAAAAGTTTTATCAATATGATGTCATGACAAAGTAGAAATGCCTCCTGCGTTATGTTTTTGTGAGTTATCCCTGCTCGATCATGGATGGGCTGATGTACCACATTAAAACTACTTTAAAACATCTAAAATTCCCTTCAGTCTGAATGATAACAACGACAACAACACATTCTTGGATCTGTATTTTCTGTTCATATAGAAAGTTCTTAGTTGTGACATTTTATTAAAATTGCTGCAAACTTTGTGTCACAGATTCATATATTATTAAATTATGTTCTTTTACAAAATTAGTCATTATATATTACACTGCTTTAAGCGTGATTTTTTTTTTAAATCCCACAAGTGACGCTCCCAGTGTTCTTTGCTTTAGTAATACACATCCTAGTTTGTGATTTGATGATCTAATCTGCCACTCTGCAGAATACTGATGACATTAACAGAAATCTTGTTTTCTGGTGTCAAGTGACGTTTTCGTCATACGACGTCAGAAAAAAAAACACGGTCAGTTCTGCGTTTTTATACTCGTTGTAGGAAAAATTAAGCTCGTTCCTGTTAGGAACATAAGATTTTTTTACGCAGAAAGCCCGAGGTGTTTGAAATAACCTTTGATATCTGTTGTTTGCACAGTCATTGAACAACCCATGAGTCAGTAATCGGGTAGTCAAAACATGAATCCATTCCGGTGGTCGTGTTTTGAGTGCATGGGGGCGCTGAGTCACTCTCTGGTCGATTAAGAGCCATGCACGCACTAAGACTAATTTATTATTGTACAAGCGAACTTCTGCCAGACTGCAAGACCCAGCCTGACGTCAGGTAGTACAGGTGTTAATAATAACATGTTTTCACCGGAAGATGACTTATCTTCTGGGTTGTTGCGCCGTGTAGTCTGGTAGAAGTTTCCGTCTTCAGACTCAGGGTTGCTGGTTCCCCGAGATGCAAGGGAGCAGTGTTACCTCGAGGTACGTGTCCGTGGGCCTCGCAGAACTGTGATGAGGGGGATGATTCCCGACAAAGTCACGCGTTCATCGTGATGGCGCGTTGTACAGTCTCACTGTCGTTATTTCCGCGTGAATTAGGTCATGTATCTGGTAGGTGTCGGTAGCTTCACGTATTGCGTAAGAAAGTGTTTATCCGAATGGGCAGTTAATGTGTGTTACTTGATTTGTGGAACTTTTAGTCAGGTGATCTTTACCTTTAAGTTCGTCTGCCGTCCAAATTTGGCCTTCTTGCTTTCGTCATCGTAAACTCCTTATCTGGATGTTTTGTACTTGAAGAGTGTCCTTATCTTGGCCATAGTTTGTGGTATGTTGATGACGTGGAGTTTGTTTTCGAGTGACGTCGTGTTAAAAAGATTCACAATACGAAATTTCGGTTTTTGAGCTTTTATATCGAAGCACAAACCCTCGGGTTTTCCTGGAGACCGGACGGAGTGTCTGAGCATGCGCGAACCCATCTTCACCCGCTCGGTCACATTTACGTGGCTCGCATTACGTTTTTCATCTTTTCTAATTTTTAATTACTACTGAACGTTTCTTCGCGAGATGATTGCTAACCCAGTTTTATCCATTGTCTTCGTCGAGTCTGCAGAAGAAGTGTGGGACACGGAGGAGAGTTATCATCCCATGTACAAATAAAGGCAATTGTTTTCTGTTTTGGGGACCATGGGAACTTAACCGGTGCAGAATCCCATAACATTGAACTTCTCTGCCATACGTCTGCAGTGTAGGAGTGACTGCCAGATTTAATTACTTCCCCACTCTTCAGTAGCCTCCAAACAACTTGTGTATGTTTGCATAATTACTGGGGTCGCAAGATTGACCTATAATTCCGCGCTTTAATCTATAGGATATCATGTCTAAGTAATATCCTGTGTTGATGACAATTCTTCTAATGATCGTCGTGATATTGAATTGTTATCTAAAGTTTTATCTGCGTGCGTTGTTACGAAATGATAAAAGTAATTTATCATTGTCTTTCCAAAGTTCATGAAATGAGCTTCTATCCAAGAACTTATGCCACGTACACGATCTGATAGTTTAATCGTTTGATTGAGTGTAACAAGATAACTGCACGTATTGTAGTGTAATCTCATGACTTACGTGTGTCCCAGTGTTTTTCGAAAGGACCTGGCCCACGCTAGCAGTTCGCAATAGATGTGTCGTTGCTGACAGGTTATCTCAGTGGTAACGCGTCTGATTTGTATCTGGAAGATTACAGGTTGTTTCTGAATTCTGTTAGACCCTTCTCAGTCTCCACATTCCTCGACCAACTTCCATTTTTTCCTAATCTGTGTACTTGATGTGAGATCTGCTTTCGTAATAATATGCCCCGATATCGCGATGATAATGTGTAGGGTGCCCCGTATTTTGATACATGTCCACATATCCCATACAGCGAGGAAAATGGATTCCTGAATATGTGTACGTCTTTTTGGGACACCTGTATAAAAGCCATTTGCCGTAGGTACGGATTTATCTTGACTGAAGTCTCGTAAGTATACAGTGAAAGGGCGTCTTAAATTGGAGACAATCCACGGATTTGGCCTTGGGAACTACGCGAGGTAAACAAGCATCCTGATTCTAGTGGAATGTTTACGTTTTGAAATCAGTGAAACTGCATTTTTATGACCTAATTTGGCTTGGAGAGAAAATGTTCTGTCGTGCATTCGTTTTGCAAGTGTTTTCATGTGGCACGTTTCTGTGTCGAAGCCAGGACAGAAACGTGTACACAGGAATGCGTCACCACCAAGTATGTGACTTGTGTGAAATATGCCGAGCTCTGTTAGTATTCGTTCCAAGTAGGAGAGAAAATATGTCGGGGAGAGGGGGGTGTCCTGGTGTGTGGGGAGAGAAAGCTGTCGTTGTGAGGGACACCGACAGTCTTCGAGCAAGCTGTGTCTGCGTTGGATGTGGCCTGAAGAACGGCATTGTTGATAGAGTGGATCCGAAAGCAAGAAGGAATTTATTGCCGTGTATTAAGGCTCTGATGTTCTGTGGAGATAACGTATCGTGGTTTGAGTTATCGGCATCTGGGTCGCGCTAAAACTCTTGATTGTTGTTGGCTTCTTACCAGTAATCTTAAGGATTTCGTGTGAGATTGTTTTAACTCCGTTCCGTGTACACTGGGCGCACGACTAGATTATGGACATCGAAGCAAACAGGGGATCTTTCCAGGAGCAGTTGATGGAATATTATGAAATGGTAAGAATGGTTGTAAGTAAGCCACGTACAATGTTATAAGTTTATGTTTATTTCTGGATGATTGTCTGAACGCAACAGATTTCCTTAAGAATTGGAACCGAAATGGGTTCTTCGGGATTGTAAAATGAAAGGCATTGTTGCTACCGAACAAGTCTTTCTCTACGCTAGTTTCAAGTATCGGAGATTTTCTTGTGAATCTGTTGAGTTGGCATTGAAGTTGGAGAGGCTAAAAGAATTCAGTTTCTAGTGAGAGTGTTTTGTGCACGACAGGAGAAAGGTACTGCCTTGTTCCTTGTTTAGGATGTCAGCCATAAAGTGTATGGACCGCAGGTTTTGTTGTTATGTCAGTTAAAAATTAACCGTATTCAAAATCATATCCAGGATTTAATCGCGTATTCGGAAGTCCTAGTGTAAGGTTAACGGCGAAAGACTGTGATTATTGAAGATGGCTGTTGTCTGGATCTGGTCGAAGTTTATCGACGTTTCAGAGGTCCTCACATGATCAGAGAGCCATGATGGAGGAAGCGAATGCATCTTAAACGTCGGTAAACGTATACTACGCGGCTCTGCGACCCTGAAAATCGCAGTGAAAAACCTTGTTCAGTCTTGACAAATTTGCTTTGCTCGAACACCGTCTTAAATTTTATCCACGGGACGCGACGGTCGTACTCGTGGGCGTGGCTTACTTCGTGTTTAATTGTGATGTAGAAATACTGATATGGATGATAATATTAAAAGTCAGATAAAGGTAAGATATAATGTGGAGTAGTTCGTAAAATTATAATTTCGTCATGACTTCTAATGCAGGGGTGGCCAACCCGCGGCCCGCCTTGAACATTTTTCCGGCCCGCGAGATTCATCACACTTTTACAAAATATATTTATTTTATAATGGCCAAAGTAGTGAAAACCAATGTAAATGTATTAAAAAAATACATTATTTGTGCATCCATATCTACTATAAAAATTTGTGATTCCTCGTTGTCGTCAAAAAATGACGTCATCAACAATGTCAACTTATG